ATCTATGAAACTTGCTAGATAACTTGAATCCCCATTCACTGATCAATCATCCAAGTGTTTGTAATATGAAAAAATAGCTCATACACTCAAATGTTTAGTTCCCTGTCAGAGTGGGAGAAGAGAACTGATATTTTTCATGGGGGGAGGGAAGGGGGATGAAGGAGAAAAGAATTTAGTGTTTTGTTTTTTTTAATTATCAATTAAACTATCGGGAGACATATGCCAATTGTTGACTTTACTGGTGTCCTAAAACTCAAATATATCTTCCTCTAAAATTTTAGTTTTAAGGGGAGAGAATTGTGTAGCACTTCCCCCTTCCTTGCATTTTCTAGCTAGAGTCCTAACTCCCTCCTTTTATTCCTGTCCTCCCACAGACAACATTGTGGGGAGGAATGCTGAATGTTGAACATGCCTCCTCTAGAGCCAGCAGATACTACTCTCAGCTGGAGATGGTTAGTGGAGAACGTAAGATACACCTTTCCTTCAGAGAACAAGTGCAGTGTGTGGGCTCCCAGGTCCCTGCTGGCACAAGGCATAAAAACTACAATGCAGATGTGCAGATTGTAGCCCACCAGGCCAGTCCGCTTCAGGTTTGTGGGCTTCCAGAATCAACTTTTTTTACTGCTCTTCTCTCTCCCCTTCTGTCACAGAATCAACCTTCCTTTGTCTGCCTCTCCTCACTAGTTGCCTTTCCAGGAATATACCCAAGTTATGATACACACTGGAGGAACAGTGAGTGTGAAACTGATGTCATTATAGTTTTATGCCACTGCTCCTGCTAGATCAAGAAGAAATTGTTTTGTACTCGGCTAGCTTAATCTGCCTTTCAGCTATGGTACGACTCAAGTGGGAAATATACAGTGAATTATAACCAAGTTAACAGGTAACTAAAGGATTACTAGCAAATAAAAACAAATTTATTTTATTGAGCACCTCAACTGTAAGTCTTCACTGCCAAAACCTAAGTCTTATTGCTGAACAGAATACATGAAAAAGTTTGTCAACCTGTTCTGAAATGTTGTAGTAACCTGCTTCCAAGTTCAGTGTATTTTCTTGATGAAGCTGCAAAACACAAGGTAATTTTTCATAATCTGGATTGATTTATTTTATACGTTCAGGTGGATACTCAGTTCATACAATCAGTCTGAAGGACTGTTTTTCCATGGTATAGTTCTTAAATTCTATAATATTAAATACTGCAATGCCTTTGAAAAAGGTTAGATTTATTTTTACCCAGTTAGCTTTTTGCCAAACTCATGTCAATCACTACATTCAAACTTTTACTCAGACTCAAAGGCCAGAAGGGACCATCATGATCATCTAGTACAGTGGTTCTCAACCTGCACTCTGTGGACTGCTTGCGGCTCAATCAGCACAGAGTTGTGGCCCAGGTGACATTCTCAGGGCTATGCTGGTAGGATTGGATGCAGCCCACATAACACATTGTGGGCTGCATATGCAGCCCACGATGGTAAATAGGTTGAGAACGGCTGATCTAGTCTGACCTCCTGCACATTGCAGGCCACAGAACCTCGCCCACCCACTTCTCTCATGAAGTCCTGCAATAACTCACTTCCTTCCGCCTCCCACAGTTTTATGTATCTGTAAAGAAAATTGAATTCTACAAAACAGATTTAATTAGAAATGCATTACTAACTTTTTAAACTATGGGTATTCTCATCCCTTCCTCACGACTTGGGCAGATGCATCCAATTAATGAGTCATTCAACATCAGAAATTTCCTGTTCAGAGCATGCTGGCAATACCACTAATAACCTACATTGCTCAAAATGCAGAACAACTCATTTTCTATCATATTACTACCTTTTTTTTTTTTTTTTTGGGTCTAAGACTGTAAAAGATAGTTTCCAGACTTGTGGGCTTGGCTTCCAAGAAGGGTAGGGTGGGAGAGAAAGCTACTCATTTTGGATTGCCAGATCCACTATCCTTACTTTATTTAAAAGAAATTTAAATTACTGGGAAGCGTGGAGGGAATTTGCAATCACCTGCAGAACGAATGAAGTCTGATATCCTGATGTGCCTAATATTACTGACATCTTTATCTCAGCCCAATATGAAGGAAATCTACTATACCTTGATTAGCACAAGGGTGTTCTAACTCACTCCTTGAAACCACAGCCAACTGACATACTAGAAAAGTTAGCCTCTTAGTATGGTGAGTACCTTGGAATTCCTAATTCCAAGTTTTGAAAATGTAAGTCTAGCCTTTAAGAGGATTTCAATCATCTGATGAGAGTGCTTTCTTAGTCTTTAGTTAGAAAGGTCTGTGGATGCTGAAGGGCTCTGAAAAATCCATGTCAATCCACAGTCTGGAAGTTACTAAAAGGCTTAGAATGAATCAAGAAGGCATCTTTTGCAAGAGCTTCCTTTTTTCTAAAACAGCGGAATAAGATGTCTTGAAGGCAACATGTGATCAAGGTCAGGAGCAGCTTAGCCTGCAACTCTGTTCTTTGACTATTTTGATAAAGTTCCATTCTCGGGTGCTGATGGCCCATTCATGAGCAGTCTGCCCTGTGGATTAGTTTGCCTCCAAAGCATTTTCACTAATTTTTCTTTGCTTTTGGGAACTTTCTTTTATCTTCCTCAAGAACGTCATAGCCCACATACTGTTTAACAAATTAGAACATCCTAGTTTCGAGTCCCTCCTAGTGGGGCTTGTGAAGCCTCAAGTCATAAAAGCTGATGGCCATTTGAGACTCTTCTCGTCTGGTTCTCAGAGTTTCTTTCTGGAAAGTTCCCTTGTGTAAAAGGCTGAGAGCTGCTTCCCTGATAATTTCACTCTTTCCTTCACTTTTTGGAGATAAAAGAAACTTGTCTGGAAAATGCAGATAATCCACTCAAAGTTTTTCTTCTTTCTAAACATATGCTGAACAGAAAGTCGCCACCGCAACCACAATCTCATGCTAGCCAATGCAAATCAATAGTCTCTCTGCACATATATGCCATCAAATTTCAGAAACCCTGTAATTTACTCAGAATCCCAGTGCTCATACCTAGAATGTTTCTACCATACTGAAAGCTGTTTAAAAACCAATGTAAGTTTGAGAGACTTCCTGTAAAAATAATGGGGATTCCAGAAGAACCAGTAAAGATTTTCAAACAAGTAGTAAAAATTAAGTATGCTCACTGTATTACAAAATAGGTTGGCTTTTAGGTCTTGAGGTATAAGGTTTCCCTTCATGTGGAAAAATACTGAGCTGTAATCGCATTCTCCTGTGCTCAAGCTTGATAGCATCTTCCTATTAAAACCTCTTTCTGGATAGCTTAGTGTGACTTTCCGCATTAGCTGTCCATTTAAATGGTGCATTTAAGCTATTTTAATGCCCTTATGTTAGGTGCCACTTTTCATATTTTTGTTACCCTTTCCAACTTCAGAATTTGGGATGTAATAAGGGTCTTCCAAGTATCTTCTAAATCACACAAGAGTACTGTGCCACGCAACTCCTGGACAATGAAAGACTGACTGACACTGCAGTTAACTTGCATGTATTAAACACTCTTCCATGGATTCTCTTAAGATTAGATAACCTGGCCTCTTCACATCAACTTCCACAGGTTTACCAATTCCATAGCATTTACAGTATTCCAAGTGCCTTCTCATATTTTCTCTTTGTTTTATTGTTTGCCATTAGACTTCACTTCTCTGTTCTGACTTCTTCATCCTAACCTCTGATGGAGGTTTTCTGCACAAACCTGCAATACCTGACCCAAAACAGCAGAACAGACTTTTAGACTTTAAGCGCTGTGGAAGTTTTTCACTGTCTGTACAGTTCCTAGTATGATGGATCCTTAACTTCCTTTAGAACTCTAGGCACAATGTTATACAAATACTACTAATAATAATGTATAATATATTTTACAAGTCTTGTTTTACTGATCTTTTTTGATTGCAGAGTCTTAACAAAGCATAGCCAGAGATGTTCCAGGTATTATAACTGATAACCTAGCTGTCTTCATTGTTTCTCCAAGTTTGAGGCACCCAAGCAAATGAATAGTTGAGCTGCTTCATGCATTTGCCTGCTAAGCCTGAAGTAGCCTCAGGATTTTATTAGCTTAATCATTCACCGAGAGAGACATGATTATACTCCATTATGTCAACGGTTAATATTAGCAGTGTGGGGTTTTAACAATAGAGGAAGATCCAGCACTAGAAGCAAGTCTCCAAACGCAAGTGGTCTAGAAATACCGAGTAATAGGGATGGGATGGTTACCATCCCAGAAGTCTACATGCACCAGAATATATTTTCCATTTTGAAGCACTACAAAGCAGTACATTGAATTGTAACAGAAATTTTAACAGCAATCCCACCCACCCTTTAGAGAACCTAAAATCACAATAATCAGAGGAAACCAAGTACAATGCCTACTTCTAGCTCTAGTGATTTTTTTTTTCACCCTATGCAAAAGGAAAACACACACTAAGGTGAATGATTTTGGGTGTGGGTCAAAAATAAAGGATTATGCTGACAGGGAAGTGAGAATTATCACTTACCTCCCTAGTCCAGAAGTTTCCCACTCAGGGGCTGGGATGTATCTGAAGAGTAACATGTAATGGAAATTTGTAGGATTAAAATAACTGCAGCTGATTGGAAGCACCCGATGGAGAAGAGGTGAGAATACCTGCTGTTTTAGACCCGTGAATATGATAATCCCCAAAACTGACTTTCTGGTCTTCTGCCCTCAAGTTAACTATTAAGATCAAAAGTTGTCTATCCACTGGGGGAAAACTACTATGAGTCAGTTACAGTAAGTTGCTGGAAAACCATATTTTAGACAAGAATCCAGCTATGGATTTAATTGAAGCTATTAACACCACAGTACCAATGGTCACATAGAGAAATTTAGATGGTGTTAAAGGGGTTAAAAATTTTGGCTGACAAGTTCAAAAACAAAGAAATCACAAAATTCAGGTTCTGTTTCGATTTCCCTATTTAAAATATTTAAGTGCAGAAGTTGAAACAACAAAGAACAATTCTTACCTAGTAAGTGTGTACTCCCTGAGTCCTGAATGCAGGTTCATGGCTGAAAAAGTACCTATGCATCCACGCAATCGTTTATCTCGACCAATCTTCCACGTTACAAATAGCGGGCTGTGTTAGGGAGGAAGAAAAGGCATGTGTGACTGCAGAATTCTTACAAGTGTTACAATACTGATAGTCAGTGGTATTTCAATAACATAATATTTCTCTGTTGCAAGACTGAACAAAGCCTACAAATTAGCTGCTTTTGCACTGGCCATAGTATTTGGAAGCCTATTTTACTATTTGTTTGTCTACTGTAGAAAGGCCCATGTCATTCAGATACAAATGCTGGAAACTAGACTAGTCTCTAGCTACAATACTCAATAGCCAGAGAAGCAAATCTTTTGCTAGCTGACATGATGCATTTTGTATGTTTGCTTATATTCCATAAGACTCTCCCCAGAAGCAAAGAAATCTTCCCTCAGACATCTTTGCTATAGAAGGACAGTTCTTATGAGACCTCCACAGAACAAAGAATAATATCGCATTCATACTAGTCATACAGAAAATCCTTGCTCTTTTTTAATTGTAAGCTGAGCACTAACAGAATCCCCCGTAAGGCAGGCAAAAGGCATTTAAGGACAGATGCTATCTAGATTTTAAAATATAAGCCTGTACAAAGGAAATTTTCTCCACTATGGCCAAATCTTTCTTGGCGGCTAGCCTAGCTTCTGAAAGATGATAATCAGTAGTGCGAAGGCCAGAGTGGTATCTTCTCTGTAAACAGTCTAATTCAGCAGCCAGCTTTTTTTTTTTTTTCTGAGCTCAACATAAATCTTAATCTGTGCATGTGTAACAATTTTGCTAATTCACCCCCCTTCTCAAAAAACCCTACTCTAATTAAGTGAGCAGTAAGATTTTGTAAGGTTGGTCTAAACCTCTCAGTCCCACTTTCACCATTGAGAAACTTCAAAGAATACCAGGAAAATTTAAGCTTCAATTATTTTGTTTTAAAGCAAGCCTCACTCAGGGGAAACATGGATTACTGACTCCTACCAATAACACTAAACCACTTTAGTGGTGACCTGTGCATACACTCATGTGTGTGCAGGCCATTTGAAGTCAATGGACATACTCGGATGTTCACAAAGTTAAGCACAAGTGTCTATAGGACTGGGGCCTTGGTCTTACTCACCTCAATTTGTGGGGACGTGGGACAGATTATATTAAGTCAATGTGTGACAATGAACTCAGCTTCTTAAACATTAACATTTAGATAATCTGATTTAATAGGATAATGTCAAATAGTTTAGGGCCTAAACATACATTAGTTTTTGTTAAACATAAAGATCAGGAGAATTTTTTTATTTAATGAAAAAAAGAATTTGGATCTAAGCTTTCCCCTACAGTGAATGCAGCCCCAAACATTACAGCATTGTGCCAATGCATGAGAGCCAGAAAATTACATTGACTTGGAATTTTCTAGTCTAGCGGTTCTCAAACTGTGGGTCAGGACCCCAAAGGGGGTCACAACCCCATTAAAATGCGGTCACCAGGGCCAGCATTAGACTTGCTGGGATGCCGGGCTGAAGTTGAAGCCCAAGCTCCGTCTGTACCCAAGGCAGTGGGGCTCTGGCTCCACCCCCAGGGTCATGTAGTAATTTTGTTGCCAGAATGAAGTTTGTGAACTGCTGTTCTAGTCTACTCATAGCCATGATGGAACATAGCAGTCAAATGCAAAAAAGGATAAATGATTAAAATTTTTTTTAAAAATTTTAAGATATTGAAGGTATTAATGCAGGTAAGGCATGTTTTAATGAAAACTGAACCTAGTTCATCTTTGAGCAAAATAATTTACATGTCAAAATCTAAATATTTTTGCAATTCTTTCTGCTTCCACAAGCTAGAGCATTACATTCATAAGGCCTAGACTGAACACTTCTCAAACTGTAGTCTATTGGTTGAGACATCACCTGGTTCTAGCACTTGTTCTATCCTCCCTGCTTTCACCAAGGAGCCAGGGCTTGGAGAAGGGGCCAGGGAAGCAGAAAACTTGACTCAAGTTGGTAGATTGAACTTAAGGAGTGTCAGCATTTGTAGCAGGGATAAAGTGGGGGGTGGTGGTGAGAGGGAGATAAGGAATACCACAGGTGGGCTCGGAAGTAAAAACCACTACGGCCAGGGATTCCAGCAGGCAAGCAAACAGAGATGCAGGAAGTGCATGATGGAGGGGACAGAAGGATTCACGAAGTACATCAGAGAAAGGCCATGGGCACTGAACAAATTGGCAAGTTGGGACAGAGGGGAAAAAAAGCAGTCTCTCTCTGGGACAGTATATGGAGTGTCTGGATGGGGGAAGGAGTCTGGACACTAGCAGAACTAAGCCCCGGGGAGCCAGAGCAGGTGGAGTTGTAGGCAGAGGGAGAGGAAAGTTCATGTAGTTCCTGGATCCCCAGTTCCCTGAAATCTGCAGGGTTGTAATTCAAGTCCTACAGAGTTCTTGAGATGAACAGCCTCAGCTGAAAGTTCCAGAATGCCGAGGAGATGGGGGTGGGAGGGAAAAGAAAAGCAGGAGGAGTCTACTGCATTTTCTGTTAAAAGCAAACAAATTACTATTTCATGAAATACAGATAAGAAGGTACAAATATCAGTCCTTCAGACATGTCCTTGTTTTAGTCTTTCCTATAAGCAATTTGTCATGTGGATGACTGATCACAATGGGGTCATAATTAGGGAGGGAGATATACACAAGAAAAATTGTGTACCTCTGGCCTAAACCCTGATTGTTCATCTCAAGTAAAATCTGGCTTCACATTTCAGGGAAAGTCTCTGTTCACAGACAATTGTGGCAGAAGATGTGTGCCATACTTGGCATCAAGACTTTGAAAGCTCTGTATAAAATCTGCTACAGTAAGGCATGCATCTATCTCTTTCTACATCTGTCTAGAGCTCAGTTAGCAGGCAGGCATTATGGCGCCCATGACCTTCATCCAGTCTAACAATATCCTGGAGAAATAAATCCTCTGAATAAATACATCTAAACCAGCTGCTACTGCCTCATGAACGTTTGGGTATGCTGCACTGATTTTTCTACTCAAAATGTCCTTTGATTGGTCATTCTTCTCCCCCCCCACTTCCCCCGGTTACCAAGGCAAGTCTGGCACAAGCCACCACTGCCAAGTCTACCTGGTTTTGCACTGATTTTTCTATCAAAAATATCCTGAGGTGGTCACTGCCTTCTAAGAATGGAGGAATGTCTCACATTAGATTAATCTACTGGGTTTGAGAGACAGGAGATTACAAGGTGAACGCACCAGCTCCTATGTTTCTCTAAAGAAACAAGCAAGATTAATAAATCTTATATGAGTCCAGGAATAGCTCTGAAATGGCTGCATCAAAAGAGATAGCAACAACAAATCTGTTTTGACATCAGCTGAGAATGAAGCTAGATAACCCTGGGAATACTGCACCACAAACTTTTCTAATTATGAGCTTTGAAAACCTTCTTGTACTCTCCTTTCACTTTCCATAGCAAACTCCCTTTCTTTGAGGGACTAGTCAGATGACACCCCAGAAGCTTCTCCTCTTTTGCGAGACAGTCACCTCTCCCTTGCCACCTTTCCTCTCCAAGCCCTAAAATATTTCAAAAACCTCAAGGTATTTCAATTTTGAAGCAGTCTAAGAACCAACAATTAGAGGGCCTTTTCTTATGGTATGAAGATCATAGTTCATGAGACCATGAAAATATACAAAGTGCCTTTGAAGATGCAAGACCACCTTGGGATTGTAGAATGGCAGGTGGCAGCAACTGTCCTATTTAATATGACCAGTTTAGAGGGTGGCAGAGTCTGCCATTAGTGTCCCTCCAAACACATGGCAAACTTTGAGGAGAGATCATGGAACCTAGATAATCCCTTACTTTCAGAGATAAGCAAGTTATCATACCAATTTTTGAAAACTAATCGGTTACAATGTTCTTGTGAGTCTGGGGCCACGTCAGGTCCTTTTCCCCCCAACCCCCAAATAATTCAGTCACTGCAAAGCTGAATGAGCCCTGAAACTTTACATGCTGATGACTTTCAGAGCACTAAACAAGGTGATCTGCCCCCGGTGGAACCTTGTGACTCTCCTTTATTAGGCTGGAAGAGTTCACCTTCTTCTAGTGATGATGAACTGAGGAGGCAGTTTAAGATGTCTCTTACTTTGTATTTTATTAATTTGCTTTTTGATAAGCTTGAAAAGGAGGTAGACAGATCTTTGCTTTTTTTGCTCTTTTCATAGATTTTTAAGGCCAGAGGGACCACTGAGGTCATCTAGTCTGACCTCCTTTCTAACACAGGACATAGTATTTCACCCAATTACCGCTGTATTGAGACCAATAACTTGTCTGACTATAGCATACCTTCCAGATCTAGCCTTGATCTGAAGATACCAAGGAAATTGTTCAATTGTGATGGTGCTCAAAACAATCTCCCCTTGCTCAGATAAGTCTGAAATAATATTCCAACTGGAGCTCATCACTGTTTTCTTACCCTTTTTGTCTCAGGTTAGAGATTTATTAGCTGTATTATACTAAATTATAGTGTATGGAAGTTAGAATTCAGATGCAAATATACTGGTTTACTCAAATACTTTGTTCTGAGTTATCTTTTTCAATCCAATGGGGATTCCTTCTAGAATTAACTGATATGGCTGCTTTAAAGGGTATGGGGAAGCCTGTAAATAAACTACTGCTGAATGTCAAAGGGGTTAATGGACCCCTGCAGGGTCACTGACAGAAGTAAATATAGATCGGAAGGGCTCAAGATACATTCATTCTATGATGAGAGTTCATATTTGAATCTGGATGCATAGCTACATTCTAGTTCCATCACAAATTGTCAGGCTAAATGGGAGAATTATTGGTTAAAGTTTAATAGGCCATCTAATGCAGGTGGTCAGACTAGATTGCCATCCTCGCCTTAATCTCTGAATCTATTAAGTCCTTGCCTGCTATTAAGACCCCTTACAGCAAACAGATAGTACAGAAAAACTAATGTAAACTAAACAAATACAGGAAAAGGATACCAGCTTCAGTACTCTCTACAACATCCATCTGCTTTTTACCTGTTAAATTGTAGATTTGGCTT